AGCCAAACAATCACAGCTGAGTGAAACACAAACACTTTGGGTGACTCAGGAAGGTGCTCAGGGCACACACACAGCACCTCGATCACAGGCAGGATTGTATCCACCTGATCAGAGGCTAAATAAAATGTCAGTATAAAATTTGCATTTATAATCCAAAAGATGGTCTTCCAAGCTCACAAACCTCAGTTTGTCCCAGTCCCAAGAGGTTCAGTGTAGCACTAGGCTGGGCTGTGACTGCTCAGCAGGACACACAGAGCCGAGAGCACAGGGACTGGCAGGTTCTCTGCAGGCGTGTCACAATCACCCTCCTCTGCAGATGGGACTTACACCCATTCCCACGTCCCAACCTGCCCATAACACACATTTTCCAGGGAAATCTACCTGCCTAAAATATAACAAGGTAGTGAGCTACCTAACAAAGGAGCTGAGAGTATCACACTGGTGTCTCCATACCTTAACAACATCACAACCGAATCCCACAGGCAGCCCAGCTCACAGGGATTCAGGGGAAAGACAGAGAGAACCCAAAAATATCAGAGCAAGAACCTGCCACTTTCACACGAGAGAATCTGTTTGGGTGGAGATGTGCAAACTGTACATTTTAACAAAACTGAACCAAATTACTTTGGCCTGAATCAAAATCAAGTTCTTGTTTTCTAAGTTGTTTTGGGTTTTTTTCCCCACATTTGATGGCAAATTCCATAACATGCTAGTAATGCAATGAAAAACTCAAAAGCTAATAACTGATTTCTCAATTTTTTAACAAACTGGCAACTCAGCCCATATTCCCTGAGGAGCATCTCTCCATCACACTGCAGTCAAACACCTTGTCTCTCTGGTACCAGCAGTACTTAACTAACTTTTTAAAAATGGTACGGTTTCCACAGGGATACATGGTAAAACCTGCTCTGGAATATCCCAAAGCCCAGGACTGTTTTAAGGCTTTTGCTTCCTGAGAGGCAGGTTTGAATTCCTGCCCACAGCATCCCATGCTCCAGATAACCCAAGAGAACAGGGACATCATGGCTTGGGTTCCTGCTGAATGGTATGCTGGGAACCCAACACGAGAGCTCAGCCCATCCCCAGCCCCTGCCCTGTGAAAGCAAAGCCTTAGGAGTCAGAGACACTGGACTGGGCCAGCAGATGAGCAGATCTCTGGTCCTCTGCTTCTGCAGAGAAACCACAGAGGCACAGGGCAGCACATGGAGGGCTTATCCCGGTGTGCCCTGTGTGGACAGAGACCTCTGCAGCTGAACAGAATGGCAGCAGAAGCTGCAAGTGCAGGCTGGAGTCCCAGACTATGGAATGATTTCAGATGGGAAGGGACCTTTAAAGCTCATCCATGGGCAGGGACACCTTCCACTAGCCCAGGTTGCTCCATGTCCAGTCCAACTCGGCCTGGAACACTTCCAGGGATCGAGCAGTCACAGCTTCTCTGGGAAACCTGTGCCAGGGTTTCCCTACCCTCACAGGGAATGATTCCTTCCCAGTATCCCAGTGAGAAGCCATTCTCCCTTGTCCTGTCACTCCAGGACCTTGTCTAAACCCTCTCCAGCACTCCTGGAGACCCTTTAAGCACTAGAAGTGGCTCTAAGGTCCCGCCAGAGCCTTCTCCAAGCTGAACACCCTCAGCTCTCCCAGCCTGTCTCCTGAGCAGAGGGGCTTCAGCCCTTGGAACATCTCTGTAATCCAATGATCATAACTATAAAGCAGTTCTATCGTTTTTAATGCTCTTACTTGACACTTTTTGAAATTTATGGATTAAACCAGACTTTTAAAATTCACGCTGCGCTTTGGTTGGTAGTGACTGTGACACACACAGGGGCGACGATTACCCCAGCGGGCAGGAGACCCCTTTGTCCCACTCACCGGACAGCCGAGGACCGCGTCGAAGTCGCGGGTTCCTCCTTAGCCGGGGGCTCCCCATCACAGCCGGGGGCTCTCCCCCTCACTCTATCCCCCGGTCTCAGCCGGGGTGTTCCCGGCCCGGGGTGGCCGAACCGCACCCACAGCCATCGGTGCTCGCATGGTGCACGATCCCACCCGCGATCCCCGCCCCGCAGCGGGGGCGCTCGGGCCCGGCCCGGCCCCCCAGAGCAAGGGGAAGATGCCGGGCTCGGCGGAGGCCGCCCCGGGAGCGGGGCCGCGCAGGCCAGGGCAGCGCCCGAGCGGCCGCGGAGGGCCGGGGCGGTCCCGGCCGGGCCGAGCCGCGCTCCGAGGGCCACGGGATGGCGGTGCCACTCCGCGGGCTCACCTTGGGCAGCTCGCGGAGCTGGTTGGCGTCCAGCAGCAGCTCCTCGAGCGAGCGGCTGTAGCGGTAGATCTCCTCGGGCACGGCCTGCAGCGAGCAGTGCCGCCGGTCCAGCGCCTCCACGTGCCGGTTGCAGCGCCAGAGCGGCGGCATGCAGCGCAGCATCGCGCCGGGCCGGGCCGGGCCGCCGGGCCGAGCCGCCCGAGAGCGCCCGGGACGGGCCTGCGGGACCGCCCGGATGTGGGGGGGCCGGACCGGGCTGCACCGAGCGGCGGCCGCGCTCCCGCGGCGGCTGCACCCCCGCTCCGCTCCCTCCGCGCCGCCGCCCGGGCCTAGAGCCGCTCCCGGTGCCGCTCCCGGAGCCGCTCCCGGCCTGCGCCCGGGGCCGCACCGCCCCCCGCGAGTGTCCCTGGGAAACGGAGTCCCTGGGAAACGGAGTCCCTGGGAAATGGAGTCCACTCCCGCCCCGCCCCGAGGGCCTGGAACGGCACCCTGGCCATGGAGCGGAGCCGCGTGCCCCCCCCCCAAACATCCCTGTGGAAAAACACCTCTAGGGAAGAATGAGCCCAAGTGTGTTCGCACAGCAAGGGCTTGGGATTTCCTCAGTAACTCACAGACACGGAGACACACGCAGAGACAGAGAAACAGACAGACAGAGGCACACAGACACAGACACATGGACACACAGAGACACAGCCCAGAGACATACACAGAGATCCCTGTTATAAGTTAGTATAAGAATTTAGACAACTCAATTCCAATTAAACATTGATAAATTTATTAAGCAAGCGATAATAAAGCAAAACAGCGCTGGGTGGCCTGGAAGGCAAGTGCCCTGCCGAGGCACACACCAAAATGTAGTAAATGTTCCTTTTTATACATTTCCAAGTCCCGAGTTCTGAATGCGGCTGCGTTGAGGCTTGAGTTTGTAGCTCATTTTTAAGTGGTCATCTGGCATTTGTCAGAGATGAAAGGTGCAGTTTCTTATCAGTTGTAAATTTTACTGATACTGATACTTGTTTGTTTAGCAAGATGTCTGCAATTATTTTTACTGACGCTTGCTTGATTAACAGGATGTCCATGAAACTTATCTTGTTGAATTATAACAAAAATCCCTTATTCCTTCATACACATAAGATTTTATGAACAAAGTTAACCCTTCTATTACAATCCCCACACATGGACACATGTAACTGGCCAATCTGCTTTCCAGATTTAGGAAAACACTTTGCAACAGTCCCCTGCCACAGTGTGAAGTTCTGTGGTGCAGCGATATTTCTCTTGCAAAAAACCCTGGTGGGACCATAGATGGTGCACAAAGGCAACCAGGAGCAGGAAACAGGTCCTTATGAACAGAGGTTGGGCCATGCCCACAGATAGAGCAGAAGTCAAAGGGATGTGGCAGAGCTGAAGAAACAAGTGCTGTGACAGGAGAGACAAAGAGCAGCTTCCTCTGGCGCTTTTCTCTGTGCAGGGCACAACAGATAGATCAAAGCCTACACATATGTCCGTTCTGGGACACGGCACCCAGGCACTGCTTTGTGACAAAAGCCAAAGTGCAAAGTGAGTGTCCACCTCTGAACTATCTCAGGACCTCCCTGTTCCATCCCCTACTACTTTCACGGTTTCCTGGTTGCTTTGGCACTCTTTCTCTTTCTTGCTCAGTTTCTCCTGCTTTTTGAAGTTCATCCCTGCTCCAGCCCAGCACTGTCAGGCAGCCCTTATACCCAGCTCCTCTCCAGATACAATTCTCTGTCCTGGCTACTTTTGCCCTGCATACAGCTCTTCATCCCCACACCAGATCCTACAGTGGTTGTTTATCTCATTTCTCTCTCATTTATGTTTCAGAGAACAGATGCTCCCTCCTCACTGCCTGACAGTGGCACCTTCACATCCACACTTGTGTGACACTGGGCAGAGCCCAGTGCCCTGGGAACAGCCTGGGACACCTGGGACACCAACCCAGGGCAAGACATGGGTTCTGTGTGCTCTGCATCCCTCTTTCTGTGGAGTCAGAAATGAAAAGAAAGTGACCGGTAACTGAGTGACACCAGAGCGCAAGGCACTGCTGAGGCACTGCTGAAGTGCTGGTGAGGTGCTGGTGAGGAACTGGCCTTTGTGCAGACAGGAGGAGGTAAGAGCTGTCCAAGGGCCTTTCAGTTTCACTGCCTGTAATGGGCAGTGGCTGTGAAACAGGCAAGGAAGGAATTTTTCACAGTCATAGAATCACAGACTGGTTTGGGTGGGAAGGGACCTTCCTACGTGTCCCTGGGGCTGGAGGGGGCAGCAGCTTCTCTAGGGCCTGTGGGGGGACAGTCAGATTACCTGGGACCAGGAAGGAGGGTCTGGATCCAGGCCCAACCATCCCGGCTATAAAAAGCCGGAGCAGCCCCGTGTCCCCTCTGCAGGAGCTCAGTGGGGGGTCCAGGAGCAGCACCCAGACCCCACACCCACTGCAGGGCACAGGTAACACTTGAGGCCGGGGTCCCGCGGTGACGCCGTGGGGCTGCGGGGGCCGGGGTGCTGGGCACGGGGGCCGACAGCCCGTGGGACCAGGGTCGGGGTCAGGGCAGTGCTGGGACGTGGCCGGGGGGCTCCTGGCCAGGGGTGCAGGTGGGAGTGTCCCCCTCTCCCCGGGCTGACCCCGCTCCCCCTCCCCACCTCCCCAGGCCCTCACAGAGGAAGTGGCCGCGGCCCCAGCTGCGTCCCCACAGTGCCTGGGCGGGTCCTTGGGGAGTCTCTGCACACCATGGAGCTCCTGCCACTGCTGCTGGTGCTGCTGGCTGTGACCCCAGCCACTGGCATCCCCCTGCGCTGGTCAGACCTTAACAGTGCCCTTAGGGAGATTGAACTGAACATGGCCCCCAACTCCTTCGATGACCGGTACTTGCGCTGCCGCGGCAAAATGGCGAAGGCGCTGAGGGCACTCAACCGCACTGAGTTTGCCACCAACAATGACTACGCTGAGGCCTGGGGCAAGGCCACCGTCAAATGGCACAGCCGCAAGTTTGTGGGGTCCCAGCTGCGGCCGGAACAGGCCATTGCCCTCATGGCGTACTCGATGGAGGAGGGCCTGTATGCGGAGTTCAACAAGGCCGTGCGCAGCGCCGGGCGCTCCCGCCAAGAATACCTGCGCAACTTCCCCTTCAAGGTGGTGCATTTCCTCCTGAATGAGGCCCTGGAAGTCCTGCGGAATGAGGAGACCCACCCCCGCTGCCTCCAGGTGTACCGGGGTATTGAAGGTATCCGTTTCACCACTGAGCGTGGCCGGATCATTCGCTTTGGCCAGTTTGCCTCCAGCTCCCTGCTGAGAAACGTCAGTGACTCCTATGGCACTGACACAACATTTGAGGTGTACACCTGCCATGGCGCCAACATCCGAAACTTCTCCAACTACCCTGAGGAGGAGGAAGTTCTCATCCCGCCCTTTGAGACCTTTAACGTCACCAGTATCACCCACCAAGGGGCCAAAACCCACATCCAGCTCCACTCCCACGGCGTGTACAGCAAATTCAACTGCGCGTGGCTCCGAGGTGACATTCCTGGGGTGGGGACACCCACGGTCAGGTGGGACAGGGCAGGGGTGGTACCAGGGCACCAGCTCTGCTGGGACAGGGGTAATGGTGGTGGGGCAGGGGATGGGGGTAGTGGGGCTTTGGGCATCACACAGCTCCAGCTGCTCTCCTGGCACTGCACGGGGGGGGATGTCAGGGTGCTGTCCTGACAATGGGCTCATTTCCCCGTGGCAGAGCCAATCCACACCCCAAGATGAGGGATTTCTACTTTTTATTCTTGTTCATGGAAAGTAGGGAGTCATTGGTAACCTCCTGACTCCCTTCCTTTGCCCCCACAGGCAGCAGCATCCACAGGGAACCCCCAAGCCTCACTGGGCTCCTCCTGGCAGCCCTGGCCCTGGCAGTGGCCACTGGCACCCCCTGAGCCACGAGGACACCGCTGTCACCTCTGCCACCGTGTCCGGCCAAGACGAGGGCTCAGGAACGGAGCCACCGGTGTCACCAGGATGGCAGGACAGGCTGGGGGGCACGGGGACCCCCCGCTGCAGGGGGACACTGGACAAGCCCAGCGGGCGCCCTCCCTGAGCCATGGCTGGGGTGTTGGGGTGCAGCTGAGGGGGGTCATGGAGGGGGGCAAAGGGAGGATTTGCTTCTCTTTTGGGCTTTTTTTCTTCCTTCCAATATTTTAACTTTTCTTTGCAGTTATTAAAGTGGTTTTAGCACATCCCATGAGTTTCCTTCTTATTTTAACCCACCTGATCCTGCTCCAGTGACTTTTGCCAAGGGCCTGGAGTGACAGGGCAAGGGGCAATGGCTTCCCATGGATAGAGGGCAGGATTAAATGGGATGTTGGGAAGCAATTCTTCCCTGTGAGAAAAGTGAGGCACTGACACAGACTGCCCAGAGACCAGTGCCAGGTCCTGCCCTTGGATCACAACAACCCCAAGGAATGCTCCAGGTTTAGGGCAGCGTAGCTGGAAAGCTGGGAAAGGCCATGGGGATGCTGGTGACAGTGGCTGAACATGAGCTTGGGTGTGCCCAGGTGGGTAAGAGGCCAATGGCTCCTGGCTTGTAGCAGGCACAGTGTGGCCACAGGCCCAGGGCAGTGCCCGTCCCCTGTGCTGGCACTGCTGGGGCACCTCCAGTCCTGGGGGCAGGTGTGGGGTCCCAGGAACAGGACACTGAGGGGTTGGAGTGTGTCCAGGGAAGGGAACAGGGATGGGGAAGGGTCTGGAGCACCAGGAGCAGCTGAGGGAACTGGAGGTCTCAGCCCGGAGAAAAGAAGGGTCAGAAGGGTTCTCTTGTTCTCTTCAACTCCCTGACAGGAACGGGAACCCGGGGGCAGTGGGGAGGGGTCAGGCTCTGCTCCTGGGGAACAAGGGACAGGACAAAAGAAAACAGTCTCAAGTTGTGCCAGGGGAGGGTCAGGCTGGACATCAGGAAGAATTTATTCATGGAAAGGGTAATCAGACATTGGAAGACAATGCACCTGTTATTATATAGTAACTGGATGTTGCTGTCAGGACTTAAAGAAAGCAGTTAATTTTCTCAAAACACTGTCAGAGAAGTAAATTCCCAGAAGATAAGCCACCAGGACAGGAGCTTGTGACAAGAGCAGATGACAACAACGGGAACCTGGCCTAGTAAGGCAGTTCTGGGTAACCTACTCAAACAAAAATTCCCACTGTGGAAAACTGTGAGAAAAGAAAGCATTAATTCCAGACCTAAATGAACGTTTGAAATTAGCATACCGGACAAAATTTCAGTGTGCAATCTGTGGAAAGAAAACAACTGCTTTCACCCATGCCATCTCAAGTTTTGGGAACATCTGACAGGCCCCGTGAATATCCAAGACTTGACTGCATAAAAGTGGTATTCCAGAAGCACAACTTTGGGACCCTCACCACTAAGAAGACCAGAAGAAGGACCCGGTGAGACACTGTCGGAATCCATGTGGTGGTGATATATTTTTACTTAATCTGTCTCTCTCTTCTCTCTCTCTCCCTATTTCTACCTCCCTCTCTCTACTTCATATTTAAAGTTAAATAAAATCCATACTATTGACTTTGGCATATGGTCTCATTTTCATGTTAATTCAGGCAGAAGCATCTTTTAATAATCAGATCCTAACACTTGATTAGCTGGCTTCCTCAGTTCCCTTCTCATTGTTTCTTTACTTTGCTTGCCTGGTTATAGAGTAACTGAGTTAGTCCCTTTAAATCACTTAGCTTAGCTATAGGTAGTTTCTGTGGTACATTCCACAGCAAATACTATCACTTCTTAAACCATGACGTCAAGGTCCAGTGAGTGAGTGGGGCAAGAGCAGCCACAGCACGTCTGTCATGGGGGTGACACACGTGGGATTGACACACGCACACATCATCTTGCACAGACCCAGCACGGGGGTCCACACCACCCCCTCACCAATCATGTACCTCCACCTGAGGGGCCCTGGTTCTGCTGGTATGGTTTGACATGGTGTGACAAGGTGTGCCACAGTGAGACACAGTGTGACAAGGTGTGCCACGGGGTGACATGGCTTGTGGTTTCCCTCTGGAGTGGGTTGACCCTGAGCTACCACTTCCCATCATCAGCAGTGAGCAGCCCCACAGATGGGCAGGGAGAGATCCACTCCCTGCTGGCACCCCGGTCCCTCTGCCACAAGCTTCCTGGTCCCTGAACCCCACAGCATTCCCCAGCACCCCTGGTATGAGGGTCACAGCTGGCCTTGTCAAGAGCCTCACTGATCTCTGACTCATTGTGCCACAGGATGGGGGGGGGTGACACAGAACAGGACGAGGATCCCCCCACCCCACGTGACTCTGGTGCCAATTGCCAGCTCCTGCTTCTTCCTCTGACCAGTGTCCCCGGCTAGAACCATAAGGAAAAGGACCATGGTCATGACCAGGGTGTGACCTCCTCCACCCTCCTCCACCCCAGCACCACGAGTACCAACCAGAGCCCCATCACAGGGGGTCACTGAGCAGAAGCTGCAGCGGTGATGGTGGCACTGGTGATACCACGACAGCCATTGTGGCAGACAAGGGTGGGGGTGCTGGAGCAGATTTAGTGCACAGCGAGGGGCTCGGGTGCTGGTATGTGGTCTGGTGCCAGTGTTGCCCCAGGTGGTCCCAGCTGAGGGGGCAGCACAGACAGTGGCTATTGGTGCTGGGGGTGCCAGGCAGGGTCATCAGGAGGGCTCTGGGGACACAGATGAGGGCTCAGCCCCCAGGGGGTGGGATGGGAATCAGCCCCCCCACACTCCCCATTCCTGCTCCTGCTGCTGGGCGAGAGCCCCTGGTCCTTCTCTGTCCATGCTCTCCTGGGGCAGCCGGTTCTGGGGGCTTCCTGGGTGGGTCCTGGAGGACTGGGGACTCTTCCCACAGTGCCTGTTCCCACACAACCCGCTCCAGTGGGAGGTGTCCCTGCTCATAGCAGGGGGTGGCACTGGATGGGCTTTAAGGTCACTTCTCACCCAAACCATTCTTGATTCCATGATTCCATGAAAAGAGTCAATAGATATCGATTTTCTTATCCAAAGCCAAAGGACAAGCAGCAGATCCAAAGGAGAAGGAGGCTGTGATGGACTGTCAGCTGAGCTGGAGAACTCCTTGCCTCTGGGTGCCGCAGATATTTCAATTTGATAGGGATTTAGGGAAACTCTGGGTGAGTTGGTGACAGCAAAATGCTGTCAGGCTCTTGACAGGCATCAAAACCCATCTGAGGCTGGAGATTCCGGAGCCTCTTGGAGCTGAAATTGGCTCTGAGAAGTGGTGAAAAATCAGAAGTGCTGACCCTGTTCCTGTGTGTTTTCCACACCACCTGCTCTTAGTTCCTATGGGAGATGGGTTTCCAGGGCTGATAGACCTTTAATCCCCTCCCACAGAGCTGATTTTATGGCTGGTTCTCCCAGAAATAGATGGAAAAAGGCAGGATTCAGGCATGGTGAAAAGAAAGCCTGGAAAGACTGAAGGTGTGTGAATTCCTTATTGAGAGGACCAGAAAGGAAATCATGGAATCATAGTTTGGGTGGGAAGGGACCATCTAATGCCACCCCCTTGCCACGGTCATGGACACCTTCCACTATCCTAGGTTGGTTCAAGCCCTGTCCAAACACTTCCAGGGATGGGGCAGCCACAGCTTCTCTGGGCAACCTGTACCACGGCCTCCTCACCCTCACAGGGAAGGATTTCTTCCCAGTATTCCATCTGACTCTGCCCTCTGTCCACAGGAACCCATTCCCTCTTGTCCTGGCACTCCAGGCCCTTGTCCAAAGTCTCTCTGGCCACTCCCAGCCCCCTACTCCACTCTTGCTCCTGACTGAGCCCACCTCTGCCCTGACATGTCACCTTCCCCTGGCCCCACCTCCCCCCAGGTGTCACCTGTGCTGGAGCTTTGGGGTGTGGGTGTCCCAGCTCCTGGGAGCAGCTGCCTGGATGCCAGAGCTTCCCTGGTGCTGGGATCCCAGCACAGGCTTTCCCACAGAATGAGATCCACTGCAGAACTCCTCCTGTGACCTCACGTGCCCATCTCTATGGACGCAGCTCCCAAACACTGGGAGTCTGGCCAGCAGTGAACTGGGAGCCAGGGCAGCAGCTGGAAAACCTCAGAGGAGGGAAGGTAAGTGCCTTAAAATCCCAAATATTGTACAATCACAACTTTTTCCTTTTCCCACAGGGACTTGGGAATTCTCTGGACCTCACACAGCCTTATAACTCATCATTCCCCCAAAATTCCAGTGTCAGTGCAGCCTGAGCTGAGATTTTAGTGGATTTATTCTGTTTTTTACCCATCTCCTGGAACTTTGCAATTTTCCCTTAAAAACTGACATGAGTTGTATTGGGAAATAGGAATTTTTAATTGCAAATATTCATGAAAACCATCAGACTTGTCAGACTCTGGCTCTAAATCCTGAATTCCAGCCTTCTGCACTGGAATTATTGATTCAGAAATTCAGAAAAGCCTGAAGTAAATGCTTTAAAAATGTTTGAAAACCCAAATCTCATTAAATTAATGCTTAAAAATATAACACACACACCCCCCTCCGAATCTCCTGAAATTGAGACAGGAGATATTGTTTTGGACTGAGAGATACCGGTTTGGGATGCAGCTGCCTCTTTAAACACCAGAATCTGTGAAGAAGGAATGGGATGGAACTGGATTTTCTCCTTCAAACTGCAGGAATATCCCCACATTATGCAGCAAAAAAGGGAAATCTTTAAAAATGTGCATTTTTGGGTTTCTCCTGAGGCAACTTCAGATGGGAAATGCAAATACAGGTGTGGCACCTGTATTTCTGGCCCAAACATGTACAGTTCTGAGTCAAACATTTGAGCTGCCAGAAGAACCAGCTGGAAACCCGAGGGCTGAGGGGAAAATGCACCCTCAGAACTGGTCTGTTTTCCTTCTGTTCCAGTTTTCCAGAGATCGACTGGGATATGGCATCCAAACCCAAGGGGAAAGAAGAGCCCATGGCTGCTGGGAAAACCAAGGAAGGAATGAGGAGCAAGGATGGAGAGACAGCCACAGAAATAAGTGATCTGGAAAAGCTCCCCCAGGAGAGGAAACTGTACCTGCAGGAGGAATGCAGGATCCTCACGGAACACCTGGACACGTACCTGGGCAGAACAGAGCAGCTCCTGCGGGAAAGCAAAGCCCTGGAAAAGGCAGCCCAGGGGACTCGGGAGCAGAGCCAGACTTTCCTGGCCTGTGGAGCAAAGCTCAGCCGGGAGCACCCGGATCTGATCATCACCCTGAACGACCGGAATCGCCAGGATCTGGCCCAAAGCCAGGCGCAGAGGGAGCGGCTGATCCCGCAGTACGCTGGCAAGGAGCAGGAGCTGACGAGCTCCCTGAGGGACACGGAGGCCGAGGCCTCTCAGCTGGACACGGAGCTGCAGGAGCTGGAGCCGTACAAGGACGTGTTGGCCCAGTCAGAGCTGAGGGTGAAGGAGCTGGAGAAGGAATTGCTGGTCACCAGGATCCGGTGTGCCGAGGAAACCCGCAACATCAAGAGCAGGTTCCTGCAGGAAAAGGCCGACTGCGAGCGGGAATTGCACCGGAGGATGCAGCGGCTCACCTGGAGAGCCGAGGAGGTGGCGCTGCGGGCTCTGATCCAGCACGTGGAGCAGGTGAAAGCAGAGAACAGGCGCCTGCGCCAGGAGCTGCTCGGCCTCATCCAACACTCCCAGGTCCTCAGGGATGCCAAAATCCGGCTGCAGGATCAGCAGGAGCAGCTGCTGCGGGAGAACCAGTGTGCCCAGCGGGTGGCACTGGTCACACCAGCACGGAGCCCCCGGCGCCGCTGGGACAACCTGCTGTGCCCTCCTGTCCAGGGGTGGCCATGGACCCCAGACCACCTGAGCTGGAGAAAATAAACACGGAAGCAACCAAAGCCTTTTAGCAGTGGAAGCATGAAGGGGTTTGAGCCCTGATCACAAGGATCCATAAAATATATTCATGGAATACATCCATATCCATGTTCTTCTTCCCTCCCAGGGAGATGGTGGTGGCCCCATCCCTAGAAGGGTTCAAGATCAGGTTAGATGGGGCTGGGAGTAACCTGGGATAGTGGAAAGTGTCCCTACCCCTGCAGGGGGGTGAGACTGGATGGGCTTTATGGTCCCTCCAGCCCAAACCTTTCCAGGATTCCATGAAGTTAGGGCACCCCCAGTGCAAAAGGCTCATGTGAGAGAGACCTGTGCCTGCAGCAGTGGCCCTGGGACTCTGCAGGAGGGAGGGACCAAGGACCATCCCCAAGACCTCTGATGTCATTGGCAACAGGTGGGATAGAGCTGAAGCTCTGCTCCAGACTCTGGATGAGATCCAGGTGGGAATTGTCAGATGACAGAGGCTTCAGTGGTCACTCCTGCCAGGAAAAAGGCTGGTAATCAGCTCATACAAAAAAAACCTAAATCAACATCCTTGGCTGTAATTTCAGGTGATTTCAGCCCCCCCTGCAGGTTTGGCTGCGGGTGAAGGACTCTCCAGAGCACCAACACAAACTCACTCGGTGCTGCCGAGTCTCCTCCCGATGGAGGGGGTTTTGAAAGGACAGGGAGCCACACCTGTGTTGGCAATCCCAGCCCTCTCCCAACAGTCACGGAAATGAAGATCTCCACACGAGGCAGCACACGCTGGAAAACGCTGGCAAATCAAGATTTTCAGTTATTCCCACCGAGTCAAACCATTGACCCTGAATGAAGCTGATGCAGAGAGTTGGTCCAAGCACCCACTGAGACACCAAGGAACCTCCTTGTGCAGCTGCTTTGCTTCAGGCTGCTGCTTCACTAGGGATTTGGGCTCTTCCTGCTCATCTACCAAGCAGGAATGCACCGGGAATCCACAGGACATACAGAATTTAAGCTTGTGCACTTTCAGCAGCAGGGACTAGATCAGGAACAGCATCCAGACCCTGGGCCAAAGGAAACGCCAGTGGAATGCAGCTCTGGTGGGGTGTCCAGATGCAGGCTTTCACCTGGTGATTATCTCAACCAAAGGGACTTGGGAGAAAGCGTTTCCAGGCTGGGGCAGGAAGGATGGGGGGAAACAGGAGTGACAGCTACAGGAATGCACTGGAACCAGTTTCAGGTGAATTCAGTCTCCTGCAATCATGGAACACCTGACTGAGCTCACTCAAGCATCATATCCACTGGGGACAAGACCTCCAGCCTGGTTTTTCAGGGAAGCAGTCCTGATGGAGGAAGAAGATGTCTCAGCAGAGGAGCAGGAGCCCCTGAGCTCCTTTTCCCCCAAAATGATCGAGCTCAAAAGTCTGGAGCCAATCCTGCCCTGCTGGCACCAGGCTCTGGGGTCTGGCACTTCTCCCACCTCCACTGCAGCTGCTTCCCCTCCCCGGTGAGAGGCCTCTGGGCCGACGGGGAGGCCCCAGTCTGAGGAGAGCTGGAATTTCAGATCCCTGCACTGAAGAGAAGCTGGAGTTTGTGACCCCTCGGCTGCAGAACTGAGATGTGGAGGCCCATCCTGAGCAGCCTCTTGGCTGATTATTTTAGTGTTTATTTAATACCTTGGGAATGGGATGTGCAGAAACGTGGGTTGATACTGAGAAAAAAAAAGAAGTGATTTTCACTTTAATACAGATGGAGGCAAAAATCTGCAGGAATCAAGATGAGGTTTGTTGTAACATGAGGAAGAAAACTGGGAAATAAACCTAAGAGATGTTAAAAAAAAGGATGGAAGAAGTAATCAAAGTATGGAAAAAAAGCTGAAAAGGATTTCTTCTTCCATATTATCATGGAATTGTGGAATCTCAGGATGATTTGGGTTGGAGGGACTTAAAAGCTCGTCTTGTTCCACTCCACGCCATGGGCAGGGACACCTTCCACTATCCCAGGTTTCTCCAAGCCCCATCCAACCTGGCCTGGAACACTTCCAGGGATGATGCAGCCACAGCTTCTCTGGGCAACCTGTGCCAGGGCCTCATGACCCTACCAGGGTAGAATTTCTTCCCAATATTCCATCTAACCTTGTCCATGGGAAGCCATTCCCCCTTGCCCTGTCACTCCAGGCCCTTGACAAAAGTTACTGGAGCAGGATCAGGTGGGTTAAAGTAAGAAGGAAACTCATGGGTTGTGCTAAAACCACTTTAATAACTGCAAAGAAAAGTTAAAATATTGGAAGGGAGAAAAAAAGCCCAAAAGAGAAGCAAATCCTCCCTGTGCCCCCCTCCATGACCCCCCTCAGCTGCCCCCCAACACCCCAGCCATGGCTCAGGGAGGGCGCCTGCTGGGCTTGTCCAGTGTCCCCCTGCAGCGGGGGGTCCCCGTGCCCCCCAGCCCGTCCTGCCGTCCTGGTGACACCGGTGGCTCCGTTCCTGAGCCCTCGTCTTGGCCGGACACGGTGGCAGAGGTGACAGCGGTGTCCTCGTGGCTCAGGGGGTGCCGGTGGCCACTGCCAGGGCCAGGGCTGCCAGGAGGAGCCCCCGAGGTGTGGGGTGTCCCTTGGGACACTGCTGCCTGTGGGGGCAGGAGAACAAAGTCAGAGGGAGCTGGGCAAGGGAAAGGGGGACTCAGGGTGGGCAGAATCCAAGGAGAGGTCAGCGGAGTTGTGGGGTGTCCCCCCAGTCTGTGCCAGGCCAGACCCAGCTGTCCTACACCATGTCACACCATGCCATGTTGTGTCATCCCATCCCATCCCTTCCTATCCCATTCCATGCCAGGAGAGCAGCTGGAGCTGTGCAACGCCACACGCAAGGCTCTGCCACCCCCATCTGCTGCCCCACTACTGACCCCCCGTCCCAAAAGAGCCAATGCCCTGCTGCCACCCCTGCCCTGTCCCTGCGCCCGACCTCAGGTGTCCCCACCCCAGGGATGTCACCTCGGAGCCACGTGCAGTTGTAGTTGCTGTACACGCCGTGGGGGCTGAGCTGGATGTGGGTTTTGGCCCCTTGACGGGTGACACTGGTGACATTAAAGGTCTCAAAGGGCGGGATGAGGACTTCCTCCTCCCAGGGCATGAAGGAGAAGTCCCAGATTGCAGCGCCGTGGCAGGTGTCCAGCTCGAAGAAGGTGTCGGTGCCAAACCCCTTGGCCACCTCTTTGTTCAAGGAGGCAGAGGTGAACTGGCCAAAGCGGACGATATCTCCGGGCTCGGCAGTGAACCGGATACCTCGGACCCCCCGGTACACGTGGAGACAGGTGCCCTGGGGCTGGGCAGCCCGCAGGTCATCCAGGGCCTCGGTCAGCAGGAAATGCACCACCTTGAAGGGAAGTTGTCCAGATATTCCTGGCGGGAGCGTCCGGCCATGGGCACAGCCCTGTTGAAGTCCTTGTACAGATTTGTCTCCAATGTGTATGCCATGAGGGCAATGGCCTCTTCCTTCCAGCGCAGGGACCCCAGGGATGGGCGGCTGCGCCATTTGACAGTGGCATCGTCCCAGGACTTGGAGTAATTGCTGTTCAGGGCAAACTCAGAGCGGTTGATCGCCAGCAGCTCCTCCACCATTTCATTGCTGCAGTCATCGTACTGGTCATCGAAGGCATTGGGGGCCATGTCCAGTGCCACCTCCTCGATGCCAGTGGCTGGGGTCACAGCCAGCAGCACCAGCAGCAGTGGCAGGAGCTCCATGGTGGGCAGAGACTCCCCAAGGACCCGTCCAGGCACTGTGGGGACGCAGCTGGGGCCGCGGCCACTTCCTCTGTGAGGGCCTGGGGAGGTGGGGAGGGGGAGCGGGGTCAGCCCCAGGAGAGGGGGACACCCCCACCTGCACCCCTGGCCAGGAGCCCCCCGGCCACGTCCCAGCACTGCCCTGACCCCGACCCTGGTCCCACGGGCTGTCGCCCCCCGTGCCCAGCACCCCGGCCCCCGCAGCCCCACGGCGTCACCCCGGGACCCTGGCCTCAAGTGTTACCTGTGCCCTGCAGTGGATGTGGGGTCTGGGTGCTGCTCCTGGCCCCCCCACTGAGCTCCTGCAGAGGGGGACACGGGGCTGCTCCGGCTTTTTATAGCCGGGATGGTTGGGCCTGGATCCAGACCCTCCTTCCTGGTCCCAGGTAATTTGACTGTCTCCCCAGAGCACCTGAAGCAGCCGCTGCCCTCTCCGGCCCCAGGGATGCGCAGGAACCCCCCAGCAAATCCCCTCCGCTCCTATCTCTCTGTGGTGGGTTGAGATAACTTGGCAGAAGCAGAAGCAAAAGCGAAAGTTGCACAAGCAAAGGCAAAAGTTGCACAAGCAAAATGAAATCCCCAATTTTATTTTCTACTTCCCACCCACAGGCGATGTCTGGCGGGGCAGAGTAGAGGGGCAGAAACCTCCCCAACCCTGCTGCCCGCGCTGGGGGATAAGCCCAGTACACGGGCTGGGTCTGGGATGGGGCATGTCCAGCCTCCCACCCAGCAGCACCTCCAAGTCCTTCTCCCAGGGCTGCTCCATCTGTTCATCCCCAGTCTGGACTGGTCCCAGGGGTTGCCCTGACCCATGTGCAGCACCAGCACTTGGACTTGTTGAATCTCATGGGATCCCTGTGGGCCACTTCTCAAGCTTGTCCAGGTGCCTCTGGACAGCCCCGTCCTTCAGGTATGTCACCTGCCCCCTCAGATTGGTGTCACCAGCAGACCTGATGAGGGTGCCCTCGACTCCTTCGTCTGTGTCATTAGTGAAGACATTAAATCACACTGGTCCCAGTACAGACTCCTGAGGGGCACCACTGGTCACTGATGTCCATCGGGATTCTGAGCTCTCTGGATGGGACCATCCAGCTAATTCCTAATCCACCCAACAGTCCCTCTTGGCATGGAATTCATCACTGCAATTTGGAGAGCAGGCTGTTGTGGCACTGTGGCAAAGGTTTTACAGAAGTCCTGATCGATAACACCTGTAGCCCTTCCCTTGCCCACTGATGGGAGACACCCCATCCTAGAAGGCCACTGGGTTGGTCATGCAGGACTTACCCTTGGTGAAGCCATGCTGGGTGTCCCCGGTCACCTCCCTGTCCTCCATGTTCCTTAGCAGAGCCTCTGGAAGGATTTGTTCTGTGACCTTCCCAGGCCCAGAGCTAAGGTTGATGGGGCAGGAGTTCCCATGGAGTTCCTTTTTCCAGTCACCTGGGACTTCCCCTGACTGCCAGGACTTTTCAAATATCCTGGAGAGTGGCTTAGCAGCTACATCTGTGCATGCCTGACCCCCCCATGCTCCACCCTTCTGTCAGGGAGTTGCAGAGAGCAAGAAAGTTCCCCCTGAGCCTCCTTTTCTCCAGGCTGAGCCCCACCAGCTCCCTCTGCCACTCCTGGTGCTCCAGACCCTTCCCCAGCTCTGTTCCCTTCCCTGGACACACTCCAGCCCCTCAGTGTCCTGTACCTGGGGACGCCAAAGCTGCCTCCAGGACTGGAGGTGCCCCAGCAGTGCCAGCACTGGGGGATGGGCATTGTTGGGGTCTTGGGCCCATCAATCCTGGCCCTGTCCTGATCCTTCTGCAGAGCCTAAATTCAAGTTAATCAATAACTGTTGAGACCTTCAAAGGATTCTGCTGCCTTAAACTCACCCAGGCTGTGAGACTGAGCCTGGGGACAGGGTTAGTGCCTGGGGGACACCCAGATCCAGCCCCAGCCCTACCCGGGCTCTGTCCCATCCGTCTGTCTCTCCTGCTGTCCCTTGGCCCCATGCCAGGACCTTCCCTCACCCTGGTGTGTTTGGTGCGGCTGAGCTGCAATTCCTGCTCCCCTGGCAGTCCCCACAGCCCTGGGCTCTGCAGTGGGGCCTGGAAAGGTGCCAATAACACACCTGTGCTGTGGTGCTGCTGAGTAGGGATGGCACCGCACCAGTGCTGTGTCCCCAACAACCCAACCCCCATCAGCAGGGGCTGGGCAAGGGCTTGGGAGGGGACACAGCCAGGACAACTGACCCCAAGTGACCCCAGGGACATCCCAGGCTGTAGGACCTGCACTCACAGAAGCTCAGAAAAGGAGAAGGAATGGGATTACTTGAATAGGAATTCATTATTTACAAATCTTTGCTTTCTGGAGCAATGGTTCCACGTGCTGGAGCCCCACTTTCTGGGAAGGGGGTGGACATCTTCTGCTAAATGCAATTACAGAATAAAGCTTTCGGTTTTCACTTTCCTTGTGCAACCTTTCAGTTTTACTGCTGTTTTTGTCCAGTTATCTCAGCCCACCACACCCAGGTGGGAGCAGAGGGGGTTTACTGGGGGGTTCCTGCCTGTTCCTGGGGCCAGAAGTGGCAGTGGCTCCTCTGGGCACTGGGGGGGACAGTAAACTGTCACGCATGAAGGTGTTGAAGAGCTCTGTGCCTAAGATGGAGCCCTGGAACCCCACTAGTGACAGTGCCAGCCTGATGTCCCCCTATTCCCTGTCACCCTTTGTCCAACCCGTGAGCCAATTGCTCACCCACCCCATGATGTGTTCAGCCAGCTGTGGGCTGGACAGCTTGTCCAGAAGGATCCTGGGAGAGACAGGATACAAAGCTTTACTGAAACCCACCAAGTTCTCCCTATACAGCCTTGTTTGCACTCCATGGTGTTGGGTATTTCTGTTGAAGCAAAGGGATCTTGTTTTTCCACTGCTCTCCCAAAAACTGACTAAAAGAGGAAGCCAACCTTCAGGCAGGAACTCTTTTCTTCAGAAGACTTTGTGTGACAGAAATAAAGTCCTAGGCTTATGGGCATTTCCCAAAAATGACAGAGTCCTACCCAAGCTGCTAGAATGGATTGACTTTTGGCCTCAGGAAAAGAAATCTGGGATTAGCCATTATTCTCTTCTTTTGTCTCAGATCTCCTCTTTCAGCATCAGATCGGACTGTTTCACATCCTGTGATGAAAAACCCCAGAATTATGTTTTGTTTGAAATTCCTTCACTGAAATGATGCCACTGACAAATACTTTCCAGTGCAAACCAGGCCTGGACAGCTGACAAAAACTTCCAGTAATTTATAATATTTAAATCCCAGTAATTGAAAATATTTAAACACCACAGATGAGATGATTCTGTAACTCCTTCGGCCACAGCTTCCATTACCCTGATTGCAATGAAGAACTAAAGTCCAGCAGCACAACTAGGGAATCTTTCTTGTGCTTCACAAAAAAACCTGGACGAATTTTAAAATCTGGAGTAAATGAGGCAAATTTGAAGCATTTTCCTCCTGCTACTGCTTGCTTCCCCATAGAGCTCCTTCCCCTGCTGAGGTCCATCATCAGCTGTACCTACAACTCACGGGAACGTCACTGAATCATTTCAGCTATATAATACCTCAAGGGTTTCCTTATCAGCAAAATTTTTAATCCCCCAATGGTGGTAAAAGAGACAATTTACAAAAACATTTCAATTTACCAGTGTAGTCAAGGATTCCCAGCCAGGAACTGCTGGTATAGCCACAAGTGGTTCATATGTCACAATTTAACGTTTTGTGGTGAATGAGAGTTCTGAGGGGACTTACAGAACCACTGGCTGATGCATCATCAAAAGCAGGTTTGAAACAAAAGCGAAAGCATGACCAGGTTCATTGGCAAAGGTCACTCTGCTACTCACTGGATGGTCAAAGTACGCAGAGAAAAAGCAAAAGAAAATCTAAAATCTATCAATCTAAACCCAAAATCAAGCCAGCCTGACTTTCTTAGGGAAAGAAAGTCATTAATCCAAATGATTCAAGAACCTGAGAGCAACATCCCTGGGACATTTGCTGCAGCACTTCACTCTCGTGTGCACAGAAAGCTAAAGAGTTTCTCCAAGGAATGTCCAGGTGTGTGTCCAGGTGTGTGTGCAGGGTGTATAGGGCTGTATGTACCGAGGTATGGACAGGTGTGTGCAGGTGTATGTACAGTGTACATACAGGTATATGTAGAGGTGTGTGTACAGTGTATGTACAAGGTACGTAGGTGTATGTACAGTGTACGTACAAGGTGTGTACAGGTTTATACCTGTGAAAAATCCCCCTGAGCTTAGGGAAGGACTCACGTCAGTGCCTTTGCATCTTCCCAAGGGGCGAAGGGCTCAGCCTCGAGGGCTGTGTGAGGCGGCCGTATCGGCGGCTGCTCCCTCGGCACGGCATGGCCCGGGCCGGGCATGGAAGTGGAGAACATGGACGAGAATGAATGGAAGTACCTCGGGAAAGGCAACCAGAGCCTCGTCGCCTCACACTGCCAGACGCTGGGGGCCGGCCCAGCGGGAGTGGCCGCTCGGCCCCAGCGCCCTCCCTCGCTCCCATCTCGCCCGAAAGGAGTTTTCCATCCCGGGGAGATTAGCGGATTTCCCCGGCTTCTCTCTCACGGCCGGTGCCGGTCGGCAGCAGGAGCCGTAGGAGGCGGGCCAGCCGATGGCCGGGGAGCTGCTGCCTGCAGACGGAAGCTTTGAGGAAAAGTACTAAAAATTCACCTTGTTTGTCTTAGTCCCCAGGTGTGGGTGATGTGATAGCGGAAAGTGAGCTGGAGAAGGCGAACAGGCTTCCCAGGGCACTGGTCACAGCACAAGTCTGCCAAAGCTCAAGAAGTGTTTGGATGATCTCTCAGGCGCATGGTGTGACCCTTGGGGAGGGTCTTGTGCAGGGCCACGGGTTGGACTCGATGGTCCTTGCGGGTCCCTTCCAGCTCAGCATATTCTATGATTCTGAGTAGGGGATCAGCTCAGGCTCCTGCCTTGGTCCTTCCAGTGCAGCAAATGGGATCGTTCGCTGGCTCTGAGAGTCCCCAATCTGAGGGAGCTGCTGGGCTGGGCACAGCCCCTGGAGGTTCAGGAGTGCTCTGAGGGTCTCTGAGAGGCCCCGCTCCAAGGAAGATGCTGAGCAGAGCCCGCAGAGGTCCAGAAGAGCTTCAAGGGTCTCCCTCAGGATGGCTGTTTACAGGGTCACAAGAAAGAGGAGTTTATTTGTTGTCATTTTCCACCCCGGCCACAATTCGGGTCAGGAACTTTCTTTCAGAGTTCAATAACGAAAATATTGTTGTTTTTAAGGCAGCAAAAATCACTTCCCAAGGCTGTTCATTAAAGCAGGAGCTCGTTATCCAGCACGAGATCCCGATAAGCTCGAGAGCAGCTCGGCACAGGTGCTGCTCGTCAAGGGCTGACGAGCATTTGGGAGCTCACGGAGCGGCCCGCGGGGGAGGGACGGAGGGAGGCACCGCCGCACATTTCTTTCTGGGCAAGCCTCGTCTTTCCCTCAG